GGCGCGGAGCCGAGATGGGCCCTAGGTGTCCTAGATGGTGGTGAATCCCTCAGCTGCAGGTGGCGTCCACCTGAGGTGCCCTGGAAGAAATGCCTGGCAGTCTACCTCCTAACGCCAGCCACCAAGTACCCTCAGGAGCCCCATTTTACTCTGCCACCCCTGCAGTGGCAGGCGGGGGCACCGAGAGTCAGAGTGTCTTGGTGTGGTGGGGAGGGGTGGCAGGTAAACGGGTGTCAAGGAGTCCGTGTAGAAAAAGAACGTTTGGAAATAGATCATGGTACATTCTACTCAATGTGATTGAAAGATGGCATGTTAATGATCTATGTCATTAAATCCCAACTAATAAAAATAGGTAAATCATTGTCTGGGCAACTCGGCCCCTCTCCGGAGGCTACTGTGGGTGGGCTTGAATCCCCAGCCTGTGGGTGCAGAGGTGAGCACTGGACATCCAGGCTAACAGAGACTCCAAGCTACTGAGACCCCTGGGCAGCAGAAACCAGAGGCCCACCCCCTGCAGGAGACCTGCCTTGCTGAGACAGAGCTGGGGCGGGAGGGAGGCTGTGAGCTGACAGAGGCCGCTCACTTGTAGTCACAGGCAGTTACTCTTAATGGTTCTAGAGCAGAGGCCATGACTCAACCAACCAACAGATTGGGGGTGGCAGGGGGATGATCTGCTACAGAAGATGGGAGGGGGAGGGGAAGCAACAGGCTAGGGTGGGTGGCGTGAGCTGGAGTGAAGGGAAAATAGTGTCCCTGCAGGAGGAGGGAGAGCTACTGGGAGGTTTGATCTGTTGTTTAAGTTGTTGGATCCATCATGAGCTGAAATGTGAACCCTTACTTAATACACAGTAAAATGGTTTGGTTTGGTTTTTTAATAACCAAGTTGGGAGTGGGACATGAGCACCTCTTTAAAGTGTTTAAAATACCCAAGTTGGGGGTGGGGCGCATGAGAGGAAGACCTCTTTAAAGTGAGATCTATGTGCCCATATTTATAGGTTTAATATTAAGGT